TCTTTCGCCACATCCTCTCCACACTTGCTGTTGAAGGTCTTTTTTTTTAATATGTGCCGTTCTTGTAGCTGTGAGGTGATGTCTCATTGTGGTTTGAAACTTCATCTCTCTTATCAGAAGCAATGGTGAACATTTTTTCATGTCTTTTGACCTTCTGAATATCCACTTTGGTGAATTGACTCTTCATATCTGCATCCCATTTATTCAGTGGATTCTGAATTTTTAATTTTTGGATTGTATGGCTTTTTTACATGTCTTTGACATAATTCCTTTATCAGTTATATTTTGTGTGAATATTTTCTCCCACCAAATAGAGTGTCTTTTTTTTTATTTATGCTTACAAGAACTGGGGTACAGGCCAGGGGTGCAGGGGGTGAGAGGACTCACCAGAAACAGAGTGGGGAACAGAACAGGCAGATCTACTGAAATACACTGCTGAGGGGAGCTGCAGGCAAGTCAGGAGAGGTCCGCTGCACCTCTTGTGTCACCCCCCTGGCCAGGGATTGAACTTGTGCTGCAGTGGTTTAACAGTGCTGCATCTTAACCCCTTGAGCCACCAGAGAGGCCCCTCAATAGGGTGTCTTTTAATCATCTTGTATTTTCTTTTGTTGTATGGAAATTTTTAAACTTGAGGCAATCCCACTTGCTTATTTTTGTTTTTAATTCCCTTACCATAATGGCCTAGTCATCAAAAATATCCTTATCTTTGATATCATGGTACAGTCACCAATGTTTTCCTTTATGTATTTTATTGTTGCAGGTGTCACATCTAAATGTTTACTCCATTTTTGTGTACAGGATTAGTAAATGATCCAATTTTGTTTTTCATGTGTCACTTGCCAATTTTCCCAGCACCATTTATGAAAGAGCCATTTCCCCATTCTGTGGTTGCAACTGCTTTAGCATAGATTAGGTGCTGGTATGTAAGTGGATTTATTTCTGGACTTTCAATTCTATTCCATTGATCCATATATTTATTTTTGTGCCAATACCATATTGTTCTTAGCACTGTTGTTTTATAGTGAAGTTTGAAGACAGGTAAGGGTGATACCCTCATTTCTCTCCCTTATTTCCTTAGTGTTGCTTTTGCAATTTGAGGCCTTTTGTGGTTTCACATAAATTTCACTATTTTTTGTTCAATTTTTTGTTTCCTTTTTTCTGAAAATTTTTGCTGGTATTTTGATGGGATGATATTAAATATATATATGATTTTAGGGACATCTTGTAGTTCTCATTGTATGGGTCCTTTACCTATACATCGGTTCCAATATTTTTAATTCTTTTGGCATTATTATATATTATTAACATTTTTAAAAGGATTTATTTATTTATGCATACAAGAACTGGGGCACAGTTCTTGAGGGGATTCACCAGAGACAGAGTGGGGAACAGAACAGGCAGACTGACTGAAATACACTGCTGAGGGGAGCAGCAGGTGAGTCAGGAAAGGTCTGCTGCACCATGTGTGTTACCTCCCTGGCTGGGGATTGAACTCATGCTGCAGTGGCTGCAGATAGCTTCATAGTGCTGCGTCTTAACCCCTTGGGCCCCCAGAGAGGCCCCATTATTATATATTATTATAAATAAATATTATAATTATAAATGTAGTCATTTTCTTGATTTCCTTGCTCTCATTTATTGCTTGTATATAAAAGATTATGTATTTCTGTACTACTGTATTTTGCCACCTTGCTGTATTCATCGCATTTCTTTTTTTGATGGAGTCTTTAGGATTTTCTATAGATAATATCATATTGTCTGTGAATAATAATAGTTAAATTTCTTTTCTAACTTGGATTTGCTTTATTTCCTGTGTTTGTCTGAGAGCTCTGACCAAAAACTATAATACTAAATTAAGCAGAAATGGTGACAATGGTCATCCTTGTCTTGTTCCTGACCCTAAGGGGAAAGCTTTCAGATTTTCACCGTTAAGTATTGTAGTGGCTGTTGGTTTGTGGTATATGGCCTTTATTATATTGAGGTAGGTTCTCCTTTTTGTTTTAGGTATTTATCATAAGTGGATGGTGAATCTTACCAAATGCTTTCTCTTCATCTATTAGTATTATGATGTGATTTTTGATATTTATACTTGTTGATATATTACATCAATTGATTTGTATATATACAATCCTTATATCTGGAATAAATCCCACTTAATCAGGGGGATATATTGCTGCACTTGATTTGCTAGTGTTTTGTTGAAGGTATTTTCATTGATGTTCATTAGGAATATATTGACCTATAATTTTCTTTCCTTGTGCTCTCTTTGTCTGGTTTTGGCATTAGGGTAATGTTGGCTTTGTAAACATGTATCAGGGAGCATTTCTTCTTGCATTATTTATTTATTTATCTATCTATCTATCTATCTATTTATTTATTTATTTTTAGATTTATGTTTATTTATTTATACAAGCACTGGGTACAGTAGGAAGCACGGGAGGGTGAGAGAATTCACCAGAGCCAGAGCGGGGAGCAGAGCAGGCAGAAGGACCGAAGTACACTGCTGAGGGGAGCAGCAGGCGGCAGGAAAGGTCTGCACGCCTTGTGGGACCCTCCTCCGGAGGCCGGGGAGCAGCCGGGGATCGAACCGGCGCTGCAGAGGCTGCAGGCAGCTTCGCAACCTGGCGCTCAACCGCTGCGCCACTGGGGAAGCCCATAATTTTTCCTCTTTCTAGTTTATTGCTAACTTTATGGGATTGTGATCAGAGAGAATAATAGGCATAACTTCAATCTTTAGAGTTTTTGACAATTGACTTATATCCCAGGATATGGTCTATTCTTGAAAATGTTCCATGTGCACTTGAAAACAAACGTGTATGCAATGGTTTTTGGGTGGAGTGTTCTGTAGATGTCTGTTAGACATATTTGGTCTAACTCCTCATTTAAGGATATTGTTTCCTTATTTATTCTTGTCTTGTTGATCTGTCCATTGTTGTAAGTGGAGTAGTAAAGTCACCTAGTGTTATTGTGTTGTCAATATCTCCCTTAAATTCTGTTATTGTCCTATATATCTTGACGGTCCATCATTAGGCGCACACATATTTATAGTGTTTTTCTTCTTGTTGTATTTGACTGTTAATCATAACATAATGTCCATCTCTATTACCTTTCTTAATTGGAAGTCTATTTTATCAGTTATAGGTATAGCTGTTCCTGATTTTTTTTTAAATTTCCATTTGCTTGTATAACTGTCTTCCAGTCTTTAACTCTAAGTGTATATTTTTCTTTGTTGGTAAGTTTTTTGTTATCAGCAGAAAATTGGACTTTGTTTTGAAAAATTCAGTCAACCACGCTATATCTTTTGACTGGTGAATTCAGGTCATTTATGTTTATGGTGATTATTGAGACATAAATGCTCTTTACCATTTTATTATGTTTTTGTTTTTGCTTTTTGTTTGTCTTAAATTTTTTATTTTTATTTATTATTTTTTAAAAATTTATTTATTTATACATACAAGAACTGGGGTACAGGCCAGAGTTGTGGGGGTTGAGAGGATTCACCAGAGACAGAGTGGGGAACAGAACAAGCAGATCGACTGAAATACATTGCTGAGGGGAGCAGTGGGCCAGTCAGGAGAGGTCTGCTGTGCCATGTGGGTAGCTCCCTGACTGGGGATTGAACTCATGCTGCAGTGGCTACGGTGAGCTTCATAGGTTGCATCTTAACCCCGTACACCACCAGGGAGGCCCTTGTATTTTTATTTTTAATTTTATTTTTTGCTTAAACTCCCTATTTGTTATCTTATGTATTACTTCTGTTAATTTTTTTGTTTGAGGGTTCTACTGAAGTTAGCATATGATGGGTTATTTGTGTTAACCATTGGATGGTTTGGTCTTTTATTCATTCTGATAGGCCATAAATTTGTTACTTTTTCCCTTCTTCTTCAGGTTAAGTAATTCAGGTGTCTGCTGCTTTGATAGTCTATTGTTCTGTTACTTTCTGTTCTATCTCTTAGAATTTCTTTCATTAATTAATTTTTTTTTAATTTTTAATTTTTTTTTTCCAGTTTTTGCTTTAGTGAATCTCATTACCCTTCCTTCTGTCTTGAGTGTTTATCAAGCTGGGTAGAGGATTCTAGACTGGAAGTCTTTTTGTTAGGAATGGAACCTTCCTCACATTCTTTTTAGTAAAGAGCTGGTAATACTATCATTTAGTAAATAGCTGGTAATACTATCATTTGTCATGTCCCTTAAATTAGCAGGAAGCAGTGTAGTCTATCAGTTCATTAATGACTTCCGGAGCCAGCTGCCACAGTTAAAATCCCATCTCTATTACTTATCAATAGTGTGGCTTTGGGCAAATTATCTCTTCTATCACATGGGGGTAATAGAAGGGGGTAATCTCCCCTGTAGTTCTTAAGAGGATGCAGCAAGCTGGTTTGCATAAAGCATTTATTTGCAGCAGTACTTGGCCCAAAGTAAATGCTATGTAACTATCAAACATTTTTATTACTCTAAGCAAAGCTTTCTTCATTGGCTTATTTGACAAATTTCTGGCAAACTTTTTCTGTCTTTGGAAATCATTTAGGAGGCACTCTATAAAGTCATTTTTTTTTCTTTTCTGTTCTATTCCCAGCTTTCATCAAATCTGCCTTACATGCCAACTTTCTCTGTTGGCCTCAGTTGGATCCTCCAGCTTGCTTCCAGCTAGCTAGTAATACAATTTTCCTATCTCTGGAAATCTTGTTTATTTGGCATTTTGGTTCACACTTTCCTGGTTTTCCAATAGTATACTTTAAAAGTTTTAAACAAATAATTATCCACCCTCACATTCTCTCATTCTAAAACAGAATAGATAATAACATTTTCTCCCGGTTCAGCCTCATGAAACCTCACTTTCCCTTTCCTCTTTTCCTTCCAGCTCCTAGACTTTCCTTTGGGAGAGGGCTGCGTTGTGGTAGATGCCAGTGCTGAGGCACTAATGTTACCAGTGTGGCCAGTTGGGTTCCCTTGAGAAGGCAAAAGGAGAGCAAGGAAGGTGGAGACATTACAAAGATAAATGCACTTTATTGATAAGGCAACAGCATCATACAGGGCTGAGGCAGAGATCCCACCTGGCCAGGGCCACACTGGGGGTGGGGGTTCTGATTCACATTGAGACCCAGGCTGAGGTGTCCCTTGTCCTCTTCCTAATGGGTCAGCAGCAGGGTGACTCTCAGGGAAGGAAGAAAGGAATTGGGGGTCTATACTTGCTCTGTCTAAAGTCCAGGACTTCCCCAAGGGACTAGATCAGTCACTGGGGTGTGTGTGTGTGCGTGTGTGTGTGTGATATGGGCTCTAAACTAAAGCGTGGTGTAGTGGAAAGAGCTCGGGACCATCAGGCCAAAGTTTGGGTCCAGTTCCTGGCAATACTTCTAACCAGTTATATGAGCTTGGGTGAGTCACACCCTCCTCTGAGTCTATTTTCTTTAACAAGGGAGTTGAACTAGTTTTCTCTCACTGAATAGCAAGCTGGACTAATGTGTTGTATATAGCCAAAATTAAATGTGTCGTATATAGTCAAAATTAAATATCAAGGTGGCTCTCTAATTTACAATATAACAATTAATGTATAGAATTTTCACAATGTAAGTTTTTCCTCCATAAATATATCTTTAACCAGTGGCAACTACTAGCTGCTATATTGAAATGCGGTACAAAATGAAGTCTGATTCTGAAAACAACTCATATCTAATAAATGAAAGATTCAGCCATGAGAATGGGATTCTGCAGGACCATGGCTGTCAGATGGCTGTCTGCCTAGGAAGTGCTGGGCAGGTAGGCACTGATGCCTCTAGCAGTGGTGAGTTGGTTGTTCTCAGAGTTTTCAAGGAACAGATGCAGGTAGAGGGGGCCTTATTACTCATGTTAACACCCCCCCCCCGCTTTGAGATATCAAATGAGGCTGTGTTCCCCAAACTCAGACCATGATCTGAAGGACCCTCTCTGACTTCCAGGAACACCTTCATCCAGGGGCTCCCACCACACCTATGGCTTACTCTCCCAAGGAACCCCAACCTGGAGTAAATGGACAGAGAGTTCCCATCTTCTGCCTGATCTGGCTACCAGGGAGAATGCTGAATTTAAATTATGTGCCCTCCCCTTGGGCCCTGCCTCACAGGCCCCTTCTGACTTTGGGTTGGTGGAGTGAGAAAAAGAGGAAAACCAGCTCCATAGGACTCCACCCTTTAAATACTCTCTAACAAGCCACCAAATCAACCTCCCCCCTACCCCCCACCCCCTGAGGTGTTGCTCCTGGCTCTCCCTGGAGAATGGCAGTCTTGGAACTATACCTGGGCAGGTGAGACAGGTGAGAAGATGTTGCCCCACAGGGGAACAGAGCAGACACTGCTTCTCCGGCCTGTGGGTTGGTTGGTAGAGAGGGACCATTTTGACCATCTTAAGATGAGGCACCACCAGCTCTTGCAGCTGCTGCATGAGAGTCTGGGGCTGGGGGATCCTCTCTCTCTGGGCTGGGAGGTAAGGTACCGGCAGCAGGAGACTGCGCAGAGCCCAGGCTTCTCTGCAACCTGGGGCAACTTGGCCCTGCTATGTGGATCCCTGAAAGGAGACCCCCACTTCCAGTAACACCTTAGGTCCAAGCTGAGGGGCCATGGGCTCGGGGACAGGGACAGCTGTGGCCACCATCCAGTACTCTTCTGGGAGACTGGGTTTGGCTGCCATGCACTGTCAGGGCCCTGCTCTTTTCCCTTCTTGGGTCTTTCAGCAGGTAAGTTCTAGGTAAGTGGCCCCAGCCTTGGGGAGAAAGCCCACCTCACGCAGCTACCTCCAAGGAGAATGTTACCCTGACAATGGGATACAGGCAGACAAGAAGTTCAACAAGTGCCCTTGGGCCAGCAGAGGTGGGCGAGGGAGGAATTGTGACTTAGTCACCTGGTTTTGGTCATCTTTGGCAGTGAATGTCCTAGACAGGCCAGTGGTGGGAGGCCTCTCAGAGGGAGGAGCCCTTGGTTAGCACTCTGGCTGTGGACAGGACAGCACAGACTGCTGGAGAATGGGCTGGGTTGCAGGCCAGTTACATGTCACAGGTAGGGTTAGGGGCAGGGGCAGGAAGGTCCCCACCAGGCTTTGGGCATGTCACCTGGAGTAGGGGGAGGTACGTTTATCTCTGTCCCTGAGGATTGGGTGCATTTCTCCTGCCTACTTGTTCCCTCAACACCAGCCAGCAGCCACTTCTGTAGTGGTGGGGGCATCCCTGGGCAAAGCCCCACCTTCAGCCTCTGTCCTCTGTCCCCACTGGAGTTTGTCAAATTGACAACAGCACCTCACGACTGAGGTCTTGAGGGACTGGGGGCAGCCTGTGGTCTTCAAGAAAGGGGGACTTAGTATTAGGTTGGGCTGAAGAGAGCGTGGGCAAGGTGGAGAGAGGAGGTGAGAGGGGAGGGGCTGAACTCCAGAGGGGGTGGGAAGGGGTTGGGCAGCTGCCAGCCCCAGGCTGGGGTATGCAGCCCCAGAGGAGCAGTCCCACCCATGTGCCACTGAGGGCTGCCTTAGTCAGGAGATCTCATTGCCAAACACCTCAAGAACAAGGGGCGTGAGCTTCATGCTGCTCTCAGGCTGGAAGGCCAAACTGCGGTACTGCTTGGAGTGCTCCTCATTGAGGCTTCGCAAGTCGGCCAGCTTCTGGATCATCTTGGCATACAGCAGGTGGCTGCCAGGAGGCGGGTGGCGGCAGCGAATATAGGTCTGCAGTGTGTTGGACAGGCGGTCCTGGATGGCCTCTATCAGCGCAGCGTCCTGCACTCCAGGGCGGTCTGCAGCACGCGGAGGGGGATGACGGGAAACAGCAACTCTGAGTCAGGTTGCTTGCTTTACAATCAACACCCAACTTCAGCCCCTCCCAGGTCACCCCTGTATGATAGCTGAGCTGTGACACCACAGTCTTCCCTAAAACCAGCTACTTCCCATTGCATTTAGGATCAAGTCCCAGGCCTCCACCTCACCCCTCTCCCTCTCTCCTTTGCTCTGCTCTGTCTTTCCATCAGGATCCTGATTTGTCTTGTTTTCTGACCTCCAGGCCTCCCATCTGTGACCTCTCTGCCTGGAACTCAGCTGTTTTTTTTTTTATATATATATTTTTATATTTTATATTATATAATTCTTACATCATTTTTCATTTTTGCACAATGTATGCATTTTCATTTTGGTTATATTCCCCATACAATTCTCACCCCCGCTTATCTTCGCCTGAGTCTTAGTGATCTTTCAGGTAACATCTTGAAAGACCTTCCTCAAGCCCATTCCTGATAACCCCCTACCTCCATGCCCCAGACAGTATCAGTTCTCTTCTATTATATTCTGCCGTAGTGGCACATACTTCTTTATTTTTAAGACTCTCATCACATCAGGAATTAGTCATTAAATAGTATTTGTTTATCCTGCAATATATGCTGTGGATACCAGAATATTAAAAGACATGCAATGTTTTATTAATCAATTTGTCCTCTGAAAGGGATGCATTTTAGGATGTCATCATTTTGATGTGACTCATACAAATGTTGATAATAGGCACTGTTTGTTGTACATTTAGTATTTCAAGAGATTTACTTAATTGCCTTTTGTCCATATATTATGTAGTTTATTTATAATTATTTTCTTGTAAACATTACAAGATTAGTTTATGTAGAGAAATATTAGTGAATGTTCATCATCTCCCCACCTACGTTTATGGGTGTTAGATCAACTGCTTTGCTAGTTGCAAAGTCATATTATTAGAGTAAAAGTGTATTTGTAAACTGTATGGGAACTAATTAGAAATAAAAACCATTTTCATATATTATGGTTAAAAAATAGTATTTGTTTAGTATCTCCTATGTTTCATGAAAGAGTGTCCTGTTTGTTGCTGAATCCCTGAACCTACGGCCCAGTACTAAGTTGCTATTGAACGAATGAGTGACTCTAGATGAGCAGGGGGGAGGGAAGCCCATGTCCTTCCTTGGGCCCAGCCCAGGAGAGCATCCTTGGTCTGAAATAGTGTCCTTGTTCTCTGAACACTGTTCAAGTCAAGGCAGAGCTACCCACTTTAGGCCTCATCACCAGTATAACATCCCTGGGGTCACAACACCTACTCCTCAAGCTTTCTCTTTCTCTCCCCACCCTAAATAGGCAGAAAAGCTCACAGGTCACAGCAGTGGCCTTCAAACCCAATCAGATAAACTGCCTGGGCAGAACCATCCATCAGGGCCCAGGGTTTTATTCCTGCACTCAGGGAACCACAGGAAAGTCCAGTCCAGATCTGCCTGCAACTTGAGAAACCCCATCTACCTGGTTCCTTGGAGTCCTCCTTATGACTCACCTGTGGTCCCTCAAGGGACAGGCCAAGGGAAGTAAGGGATCTCTCATCACATACACTCCATATGGGCAAGCCCACAAAGTGGGTATTTCCTGTCTGTCTCTTCTTCCAAACTTCCCCTTGGGCCTTACCTGGGCTTCCTCCCTCACACTCTCACAGCCCAGATCCTGAATTTCTGCCAGGCCCCTACCTGGGGAGACAATGCAAATGGCCATGAGCAGGACGTGCTCCTCTTCATGCAAGTTCAGCTTCTTCAGTCCCACCTGGAACTTGATAAGCGGCTCAATCAACTCCAGACTATGTCCAGCTGTGAGAGAGAATAATCAGAAGCCTTGAGTGGAATGTAGGAGTCACACACTCCCCCCCACCTCCCTTCCATGTCTCAGTGGGCCTGACCATCCCCCTTCTTTTCTTGTTGCTGCTTAAACCCCCTCTGATGTGCTAGATCAGGAAGTGGGGGACCGGAGCCTAAGAGATGGAAAGAATGGAGGCAGAGTTCAGACACACCTTTGGTCACATCATTGACATTGTACTTGTAATCTTGGCTGCCGCAGGTCCAGGACATATCATCCATGGTGAAAGACTGGTTGGAGCGCAACATGATGACCTCAATGGCACTTGACTTGAGCAGCACGATCTGGTCCTCAGAGGTGAGGTCTCTGTAGAGGAAGGTGGGAGCAAGGTTGTTGGTGAAGACCTTCAAGTCAGCAAATCAGTGTCGTGTTTTAACAGGCTAATACCTGTCAGGTGACCAGAAGGTGTCCTGGGTTCATCAGAGAACTTAGGACTGATAGGGAAGGATAAGATTATTATCTTTTCCATCACGCAAGATTGTGATCATGCACTAACATGACAAGTGAAGTCGTTTGGCTGCAAAGACAAGGAAAACCCAGTGACTTGCTTAACTCTGGGCTTAACCAGCCAGAACCTAGGAGGACAGAGGCTGAGGAAGTATTAAAATGAATATGATGCTCTACAAAAGGCATAACAAAGTCATCTTCACATCTTCTCATCCCCCTCCTCCTGTACTCTGGTCCTTACTGGTAGTAAAGCTCAGCCAGCTCTATCTGTAGGCCATCTCTTGAGCCCTCGAACTCATTCCCACTCTTACCAGGGCTGTTTTCAATGGTCTCCTATGGAATCCCGGAGTTAAGTCTCTCTGGTGTCTGATTCATCCTAACTGCTATTGCAGGGAAATGTCACTCTGTGTTCACTGACTCAATCATCCCAGGATAAAGATTGAACTGACTCAAGCCTGCCTTACCAGCCTCCTTTCCTACTGCAAACTCTGTCAAACTTCCATTCTAGGGCCTCCCCGGTGGCGCAGCGGTTGAGCGCTGGGTTGCGAAGCTGCCCGCGGCCTCTGCGGCGTTGGTTCGATCCCCAGCTGCTCCCCGGCCACCAGAGGAGGGTCCCACATGGTGCGCAGACCTCTCCTGCCGCCCGCTGCTCCCCTCAGCAGTGTACTTCGGTCCTTCTGCCTGCTCTGCTCCCCGCTCTGGCTCTGGTGAATTCTCTCACCCTCCCGCTCTTCTGACTGTACCCAATGCATGTATAAACAAAACAAACAAACAAATAAATAAAACATGCCTCTATTAAAAAAAAAAATCTAAAAAAAAAAATAAATAAAACTTCCATTCTAGTAACACCAGACCATTCTGCATTCAGAGGCTGTCCATGCTCAGGCCACCGTGCCTTTGAGCATGTTGCACTGCAACCAACAATGCCCTTCTGTTCCATTTCATCATCCTTAAATCTAATAAGGTTTCCCTTGGAGGCCCCCATCCTCTAATTCTTTTCTGCAGAATTAGAGCCACTTCCTCATGACTCTCTGAAATGGCTTGCGCTCACATTTTTGCTCAACTGGAAGCTGACTGGAAGCTGCATGATGACAAGCACCACCTCTTAATTACCTTAGTGTTGCCCACACATTGATCACTGAGCCCTGAGCACAATGAGAGGTCCAATAAATATGAGTTGATGAGTCAAGAGGCCAGTGACTAGGTGCACTACTTGGAGTCATGAACTGGGCTTTTCTGAAAAATGACAAGGACATGGCCGCGCCTACAGATTAACTTGCTTTTGCTTTTTCCTCTCTTTGTCTTCCAGACTCTATACTTTCTCCTGGGCATCTGCCACTCTCTCCATGGCTATACCCGTTCTTTTTTTAAATATTTATTTATTTATTTATGCATACAAGAGCTGGGGTGTAGGCCAGAGGTGTGGGGGAGGGGGGGTGAGAGGATTCACCAGAGACAGAGTGGGGAGCAGAATAGGCAGATCTACTGAAGTACACTGCTGAGGGGAGCAGCTGGTGAGACAGGAGAGGTCTGCTGCGCCATGTGGGTCACCTCCTTGGCTGGGGAATCAAACTCATGCTGCAATGACAGGCAGGCGATAGCTTGATAATAGTGCTGTCTTTAACCCCTGTGCTACCGGGAGGCCCCAGCAGCTATACTTTGCTATGTAAAAATCTGGGAATTAGATAATAACAGAATTGAATTATGTATCAACAGGTGGTGATGATGGGGAATGAAAGGCTTGCATAAGTAGGATGGCAAGGGTTTGCACTGAAAAACAAAACAGGGATGCTAGATTGGGAAGGCTGTGTCTATTTCCTCTCCAGCATTTCTAACAAACGACTCTCACAGAATCAGTGTTCCCCTAGTGCCAGGGGGCTCACAGCCTTTGGATTCAGCCACAGCTGCTAGCTCTTAGGCTAGTAGCTTCTTCTATGGAGCTACAACGGACATGTGTACTCTCATCCATTGCTTGTAGCTCTGTCCTGTCAAAGAACACACAACCAGATTTCTGCATTCGCCGTGGGAAATCCCTTTAACCATTTAAAGAATGGTACCATATCCGCCAAGTGCCTTCCCCGGGATGGACAGCCCTAGTGACATGATGTCTAGATGACTCCTCATCCTTGTCACTTTGCTCTAGATGCTCAATTCACATTTTATTTAAATTTTTTTTTTTTAAAGATTTATTTATTTATTTATACATGCACTGGGTACAGTCAGAAGCGCGGGAGGGTGAGAGAACCCACCAGAGCCAGAGTGGGGAGCAGAGCAGGCAGAAGGACCGAAGCACACTGCTGAGGGGAGCAGCGGGCGGCAGGAGAGGTCTGCGCGTCATGTGGGACCCTCCTCCAGTGGCTGGGGAGCAGCCGGGGATCGAACCGGCGCTGCAGAGGCTGCGGGCAGCTTCGCAACCCAGCGCTCAACCACTGCGCCACCGGGGAGGCCCTAAAATTTTTTTATTATATATTTTTTACATCATTGTTCATTAAACAATATTTGCTTCCCCCTACCCCCTCAGGTTTAGTTCCCATAGAATTTCCTTCCCCAATGCACCTGTGCACCATCACCTCAGTCCCCTGTGCTCCTCCCTCCCTCCCTCTGATCCCTCTCCCTCCTCCTCCCCTGCAGGATGTCTCTGATTTATAATTGTCTGTTTTTGCTTTGTTGTGTTTTGTATTGTTATTTTTTTTTTTTTTACACTGATGGGTTCCCCTATATTCCTGCTATAAGTGAAACCACTATTTTTCTTTTTCCTTCTGGCTTATTTCACTGAGCATAATTCCTTCTAGCTCCATCCACATTGCTGCAAATGGCATGAGTTTATCTTTTGGATTGCTGAATAATACTCCATTGTGTATATATACCACATCTTGATCCAGTCATCTATTTTTTGGCATTTGGGTTGTTTCCAGGTATTACCTATTGTAAATAGTGCTGCAATAAACATAGGGGTACAGGTGTTCTTTCGAATCAATGTTTTTGTGTCCTTTGGGTAGATCCCTAGGAGTGGAATTGATAGGTCATATGGTAACTCCATTTTTAGTAGACTGAGGAACCTCCATACAGCTTTCCATAGTGGTTGGACCAGTTTGCATTTCCACCAGCAATGTGGGAGAGTTCCTTTTTCACCACATCCTCACCAACCTTTGTTGCTGCTAGTTTTTTTAATATATGCCATTCTTACTGGTGTAAGGTGGTATCTCAGTGTGGTTTTGATTTGCATTTCCCTGATGATAAGGGATGTTGAACATTTTTTCATATGCCTGTTGGCCATTTGCATTTCCTCTTTGGAGAAATGTCTTTTAAGTTCTTCTGCCCATTTCTTGACTGGATTGTTTAGTTTGTTTTTGTTGAGTCGTGTGAGTTCTTTGTATATCTTTGTGATCAGTCCCTTATCAGTTGTATGGATTGCAAATTTTTTTCCCAATCTGTGGGGTGTCTCTTTGTTTTGGTTAATGTCTCTTTTGCTGTACAGAAGATTTTCAGCTTGATGTAATCACAGGTGTTTATCTTTTCCTTGACTTTCTTTGCTTTGGGTGATGAGTCTTTTTTTTTTTTTTTTTTGGTGGGATCCTCGCCGGCAGCTGGGGAGAGAACCAGCGCTGCAGAAGCTGCGGTCAGCCTCACAGCCCAGCGCTCAACCACTGCGCCACCAGGGGAGGCCCTGGGTGATGAGTCTTTAAAGATATTTCTGAGATGTATGTCTTGAAGAGTTTAACCTATATTTTCTTCAATATATTTTATGGTTTCAGGTCTTATGTCCAGTTCTTTTATCCATTTTGAGTTGACTTTTGTGCATGGTGAGAGGTAGTGGTCTAGTTTCATTTTCTTGCATGTGGAGGTCCAGTTTTCCCAGCACCATTTATTGAACAAACTGTCCATGTTCCATTGCATATTCTTTGCTCCTTTGTCAAAGATTAGTTGTACATATACGTGTGGCTTTATTTCTGGGCTCTCTATTTGGTTCCATTGGTCTGTGTGTCTGTTTTTGTTCCAATACCAAACTGTTTTAATTATTATTGCTTTATAGTATAGCTTGAAGTTTGGAAGTGTGATACCTCCTCTCTCCTTTGTTTTCATCAGTACGGCTTTGGCTATTCACAGTTTTTCATGGTTTCATATGAATTTCATCAATATTTGTTCTATTTCTTTGAGGAATGTCATTGAGATTTTTATTGGAATAGCATTGAATCTGTATATTGCTTTTGGTAGGATGGTCATTTTCATAATGTTAATTCTTCCGATCCATGGGCAGGAGATGTCTTTCCATTTCTTTGTGTCTTCTATTTCTTTTAACAGTGTTTTATAATTTTCTTTGTACAGGTCCTTCACCTCTTTTGTTAGGTTTATTGCCAAGTATTTTATTTTATTTTTTTGTATCATCAATTCACATTTTAAAAATAAAACTACCCTGTCATCATTTAGTCTTAATTTATTACCTGAGTAAAACTTGTTTATTACTAAATCTTTTGAAAATACAAGCCAAAAATTAAGGCAACTGAAAGTTGCTCATAATTACAGCTTACATTTGATGTGTTTCCTTCCTATTTTTTCCCCTGTACAAATATCTCTTCTAAAGCATATTTGAGTTTGTACTAATTCTGTCCCACTTTCTGCATTATATCAACATACTATGAGTTATTTGATCAGTCTTTCATCCAACCATTTTTGAACAGTTTGTTTTTAGTTTTTGTTATTTTAAGTAATTCTGGAAGGACATCTTTGCACATAACCTTTTGTTCAACACCAAACTCAAAATGGGTATAAGAGTGTGCAAACATCCCCATTAGTGGAGGGCCAGAGATTTCAGGGGGGGCCACTGCCTAGTGTGTCAGACACGCTACTACTATGAAGAC